AAGGTGGCTAACCTGCTGACGGTAGCTAAACTGCTAACTGTGGCTAACCTACTAATGGTGGTTAACCTGCTGACGGTAGCTAAACTGCTAACTGTGGCTAACCTACTAATGGTGGCTAACCTGCTAACTGTGGCTAAGCTACTAAAGGTGGCTAACCTGCTGACGGTAGCTAAACTGCTAACTGTGGCTAACCTACTAATGGTGGTTAACCTGCTGACGGTAGCTAAACTGCTAACTGTGGCTAACCTACTAATGGTGGTTAACCTGCTGACTGTGGCTAACCTACTAATGGTGGCTAACCTGCTGACTGTGGCTAACCTGCTGACTGTGGCTAACCTGCTAACTGTGGCTAACCTACTAACAGTGGCTAAGCTACTAATGGTGGTTAACCTGCTGACGGTAGCTAAACTGCTAACTGTGGCTAACTTACTAATGGTGGCTAACCTGCTAACTGTGGCTAACCTACTAATCGTGGCTAACCTGCTAACTGTGGCTAACCTACTAATGGTGGCTAACCTGCTAACTGTGGCTAACCTACTAATGGTGGCTAACCTGCTGACTGTGGCTAACCTGCTAACTGTGGCTAACTTACTAATGGTGGCTAACCTGCTAACTGTGGCTAACCTACTAATCGTGGCTAACCTGCTAACTGTGACTAACCTGCTAACTGTGGCTAAGCTACTAATGGTGGCTAACCTGCTGACGTCTGTGATGGTAGCGGGAAAGAATCAACTCTATCGCTGCATTGTAGGTTTTAGAAAGCTGAAATCTGAATCTCAAACCTCCTGTCTTCTTGGTCCAAAATGTGGACATTCTGGTCCTCCAAAGAATGTCCTTTGTCCATAAGGTCTAGATGGACAGCAGAGTCTTGTCCTGTAACTGAACTGTTTTTGGATCTGGGGGCGGGGCCAAACTGAACTGAGCTCCTGAACCGAAGAGGAGCTCAGTTTAACTATGGAGTCAAATCAGTGATTGATCAAAAAGGTAACTTTAGTTTAGCCCGGCCCCCCCTGGCAAAAACATCATAGTGACATAGTAGCTGCAAGAACTCTGCTGTGACACTGAAATCATCTTTAATTGGGAAAAAATGTTGCAGCTGAAGATGAGATTAAGATTTTACTTTTTAAAGAAAATTTAAAATTTTCTGTTTTTTTTAAGTGTTTAATCTTAAATTTTTCAGTTGCGGTCACTCCTTTAGCTCCATAGGTACCTTCTCTAAACTCCTTCCAATCCGTTTGTTCATCTTCTTCTTTGGTTCCACTTTGATTCAGGATAGAAAATAGATTCATTCCAAGCTGATAAAACCTGAAATAAAAATGTTTAAAGCCTCCAAAGCTGAACTAGAACCCTCAGAAGAACCAGAACCACTGAGGAAGATCCTGGTTCCTCTCCTCAGGGTCTGTCACCGTGTTCATCGGTGTAACCCGCCGTAGATGGCGTTGCTCCTCCGGGCGCTCTCACTCCATCTCCCATCATCTCGTCTCCTGCTGGACTCAGACGGCTGCTCTGACTGATGCCTTCTGACGCCGTCACACCTTCTTACTCTGTGGTTCTGCTGAACTCTGTCTCTGATTGGTCCGTTTCCTCTGGTTGACTGGATCCCAGAGACCCTGAAGTCACCTTTAGTTCTGAGGAGTCGGTCGGACCATCCGCTCCGCCGTCTGGAGCTCCTTTAGGTCCTAAACGTCTCTGGATGGTGGGTTGGTTCTAGAACTGGTTCTGCTCCACAGATAACATTTAATTTTTATCCTTTAACTCTGGAATCTGGATCCTTAAAGGTAAAGATTCTGGCTTCTGGCTTTATCAGATTCTTCTATTATTTTTATTGAATAAAAACATATCTTTTAATCTTTTATTAGTTAACCTTAAAACTTTTATTCCTCACTTTTAAATGGTATTAAATTTTCATGGTTCTGACCCTGAAATCATCGTTTCTTCTGATTTGTTTGGCGCTGGAAGGAAAGCAGCTCCTGAAACGCAGCTGTGGTCCGACTTGGTTTATTATGGATGGATCATCATGTGTTTAAGGATGACCAAACCGCCCTGAAGGTCTCCGGTTCTGAAGAAGGTTCTGTTGGTTTGTCCTCCTCAGGTTCTGTGGCACCTCGACATCTTCCGCCGGAGTTTCCGCCAGCTCACCACTCATAAGTGCATGGAGGACTCGTGCATCTTCTGCGCTCTGAAGGTGAGGAGCGTCCTGACGCCTCGGGCCGGTCCGGGTCCAGCTTCCTCTCTCACCTCCTCTCCTCTCCTCCTCCAGAGCATCTTCGGTCAGTTCCAGTACAGCAGTGAGAAGGTTCTGCCGTCCGACGCTCTGCGCAGCGCTCTGGCTAAGACCTTCCAGGACGAGCAGAGGTTCCAGCTCGGCATCATGGACGACGCGGCGGAATGCTTCGTAAGAACCACCGAGGGTCTGCAGCAGCTGGATGGACCGGCCAGACCTTTACTCACCTTCTGCTCTTTCCCAGGAGAACATCCTGATGAGGATCCACTTCCACATCGCAGACGAGACCAAAGAAGACATCTGCACGGCCAGACACTGCATCCCCCACCAGAAGTTCGCCATGACGCTGTTTGAGCAGGTGAGACGGACCAGCAGCTTCTGGCTCGGTTCTGCTGGGAACCCAAAGCTGAACTCAGAGTTCCTCCTGCAGGCAGTGAGCTGCTGATGTCTGGAACCTTTGTCTCTGTTTGTCCATCAGTGCGTCTGCAGCAGCTGTGGATCATCTTCAGACCCGCTGCCCTTCATCCAGATGGTTCACTACATCTCCACCACCTCCCTGTGGTAGGTTCCCCTCAGAGCCGCCATCTTTGGCTGCAACGCACCGCGCTGTAGCTAGGTAACACAGCAGGGTCACCTAGGCAACCGGCATATTGATCAGAACCTGTGAGATTAAATGTTAGGATGGAAAAGCTGGAAAAGAAATAATCAACCTCTGAATTCACATCTGGGATGAAATTAAACCCGATTAAGAGATTTTCAGAATCTGGTTGGAAAATGTGACGATTTACT